AAAGAACCAAGCTCAGAGAACCCCAAGGACTCCACAGTTCAACCCTGAGCTACACATGTTCACCTCTATTGGTACAGAAAATTATGGTTTAGTACAATGTGTGAACCCAGTTTCATTATATATTGTATTTAAGAGGGGAAATATACATATCCAGTATGGATAGATCTAAGAGGTCATTTATAGACTGCATAGGCACAACTCTTCTTTCGGTTACACATTCAGCAAGTTAATACTGTTAGTATCTTCTCCTTAAAATCTAGATGGATATTTGCTGATTAAACAGGAAACATGAAAAGAAAGACTATTTCTCCTTTTGTTGTGTTTAAGTACAGATAGGCTACCTGAAGAAGAATACTGATGGATCTTTGGTCTTCAGTGTACTCAATCCATCAGATCCTGAAACAGAAGGTAATTTTCAGATAAACTTTAATAGTTTATATTTTTCATTGTAAATGTGCTTTTAATTATGCATGACTAAGTTTGTGCTAACTTTTATCTCTTATTTAATAAGAGAAAATTTAATTTTATATTGTTTTCATCTTTGTTTAAATAACACACATAAGTACCTCCATTTGAGGATTAAATGTTATATACACTGATGTGCCTGAATTGGCAACAAAAAGATTTGCACTCTGAAATATATTTGACTAAAACGGTGAGCTAATATTAACATATTTGAAGGCTTTCAGCTAATACTGTAGTAATGTCAAAATTAAGCTGCATTTGTTGTAAAATATAAGTCTAAAAGAAATCCTATGTGAGCAATGCCTCTTTGAGCTCTAATTCAAAGTTCCATAAATATATATTTATGCAACTAGATTTACCTAATTAGTTAAAATGTGTGGCCAATCTGTGATCCAGGTAGTTGGTCCTTAAGCCATGCCTGCAGGAAGGTTATTAAGCCTGGCAATGGCATTTATATATTTATTTATATTTCAAATTTGTCACCGCCCATCTCACTGTGGAGTGACTATGGACAGTTTACAGTAAAAACAGAATAAACCATTAATTAAAATAGATAAATATGAATTAGTTAATTAAAATATACTAAAAACAAACTTCCTTTATAATACTTCTAAGAGGCAGATGTTAATTAGGTGTTATTAAAGTCAGGGAGCATCGTCAAGGCACCAGCCATCCCCAGGGTCGATTGTATCTTTCCTCACTCCACGCAAGTCTTCAATTCCCTCTGAAAAATTGGGAGGGTAGAGGCCCACCTCACCTTTGGGGTGAGAGTATTCCATAGGGTGGGAGCAACAGTAGAGAAGGCTCTCCTCCTAGGACCCACCAGTTGACATTCTCTCACTGATGGGATCCGCAACATGCCTTCTCTGCCAGACCGGGTGTGATGGGTCATTGTAATGGGGGTGAAACAGTCCCTCAGGTAAGTTGGACCCATGCCATATAGGGCTTTAAAGGTGATAACCAAAACCTTGAATTGAACCTGGAAACAAATTGGAACCCAATGAAGCTCCTGCAGCAAAGGTGTTACATGTGCCATCCTTGGGGCACCCAAGATTGCCCACACGGCCGCATTTTGAACCAGCTGTAGCTTCCAGACACTCTTCAAGGGTAGACCCATGTAGAGCACATTGCAATAGTCTAAACAAGAGATAACGAGGGCATGAGTGACAGACTGGAGGGACTCCTGATCCAGGAAGGGGTGTAACTGGTGCACCACATGAAGTTGCACAAAGGCCCTCCTGGCCACGACTGCCACCTGCTCCTTGAGCAGGAGTTGTGAGTCCAGGAGGATACCCAGATTATGTACTGGGTCTGTCTGGGGCAGTGCAACCCCATCAAGAACCAAAGATGGTAAACCCCCAGATACAGAGGAGCCTCTATTCCACGGCCACTCTGTCTTACCAGGGTTGAGCTGAAGCCTGTTGCTCCCCATCTAGACCCCCACAGCCTCCAGGCACCGTGAAAGGGTGGTCAAAGCATCACTCAAATCACCTGGGATGGAGATGTATAATTGGGTATCATCTGCATATTGATGATACTTCATCCCATGGTGGTGGATGATCTCACCCAGTGGTTTCATGTAGATGTTGAAAAGAAGCGGGTACCAAACCCTGTGGCACCCTACAACAGAGGGGGATGGGCTGGACCTCTCACTCCCAATCAACACTGATTGGGAAAAGCCTTGGAGGAAGGAAGTGAACCAGCACAAAACTGTGCTGCCCACTCCCAACTCCCGAAGTTGACCCAAAAGGATACTATGGTTGATGGTATCGAAAGCTGCTGAGAGGTCAAGAACAGCCAGGATGGATGCACTACCCCCATCCCACTCCTGCCATCCATGAGTGCAACCAATGCTGTTTCCATCCCATATCCGAGCCTGAAACCTGACTGAAAAGGGTCCAAATAATCCATTTCATCCAGTATCCTCTGGAGCTGCAATGCCATCACCTTCTCAACCACCTTCCCTAAAAAGGGGAAGTGGGAGACTGGATGAAAATTGTCTAGTAGGTGGGATTCAGAGATGGTTTCTTGAGGAGGGGATGCACCAGCGCCTCTTTAAAGATGATTGGGAACACCCCCTCTCTCAAGGATGAATTCACCATTGCCTGGACCCACCCACATGTCACCTCCCGAGTGGCCTTGACCAGTCAGGAGGGGTGTGGGTCTAGTTGACAAGTGGTGGCATTAACAGTCTGGAGGACCCTGTCCACTTCCTTGGGTTCAACAGGCTCAAACTGTTCCCAGATAACAGAGTAAGTCCATAGGCCATGCCCCACGCTTGGAATCCAACTGGGAATGGATCCGAGTGATTTTATCCTCCAGATGCCCCGAAAACTCCTCTGCATGGCCCTGTAAATGGCCCACTGGGCCCTCCTTTCCCAAAAGGGATTGGGTGATTTTAAACAGGGCCACCAGGTGGCATTCTGCAAATGCAATAAGAGTGGAGAAATATTGGCGTTTCACCGCTCTTACTGCTTAATAGTGGCTCTAGCCTGTGTTTGGTCAGATTTGGTCCTTGTTTTCCTTCGGCGGTGCTCTAGACGTCTCTTAATCCTTTTCAAGACCCTCAACTCCTCTGTAAACCACAGGGAGCATCGGGCTCGATGGAACAAGAGAGGTCACATGAGCGCGATCTTGTCCAAGGCCTCAGCTGCCTTCCTATTCCAGGTGACGGCCAAGGCCTCTGCTGGACTGTGCAGCACATCCTCAGGTATAACCCCCAGGTCCCTTTGGAACCCAATTGGGACCATCAGTCATTGGGGGCAGACCAGTTGAATAGGTCCTGCCTCCCTGCAGAAGGGGGTAGCATGAGAGAAATTCAGGGTCACCAGGGCATGATCTGACCATGACAATGGGGACAGATGTAACTCCCCCTTCAGATCATCTTGCCATTGCTCTGACAAGAAAAACAAGTCTGGTGTGAGACCACTGTCCCGAGTCAGGTCATGAATAACCTGGGACAGGCACATGGCCCCCACGGTGGCCATGAACTCCCTGGCTGCCTCCGAGGCATGTCCCAGGGATGGCACATTGAAGCCCCCCAGAATCATAAGTCTGGGGAACTACACCGCCAGCCCCAAGATGGCCTCCAGCAGCTCAGGCAGGGAGGTTGCTACACAGCAGGGAGGCTGGTACAGCAGCAACAATCCCAACTGTTCTCGCAAGCCCACATTCAGGAACAGGGTCTCACAACCAGCCACTTGTGGAACAGCGCCCCTGAAGGCCAACAGAGATTCCCGGATGACAACTGCTACACCTCCTTCCCTGCCCTGGGGTTTCAGCTGATGCCAAACCGTAAATCCAGCTGGGCACATTTCCGAGAGGGGCACCCCCTCTTCAGGGCTCAGCCAGGTCTCGGTGATACACGCCAGGTGGGCCCACTCCTCAGTGATCAGATCACATATAAGGGGGGCCTTGTTATTAACTGATCTGGCGTTAAGAAGCAGCAGCCGAAAGCCAGGGCCTCCACAGGTCTGCTGTCCAGGGCCTGGGTCTGAATCCAGAGGGCCGGAACATGCCACCAGTAGTGTGTCAGATTCAGCCGGCATGGCACAGCACGGTGAAAGCACCGCTCAGCTTCGCTAGTCAATTTCACCGCCCAGGTGCTAGCAGAGAAAAAGGGGAAGCGAAACCCCAAACTGATTGCTGACAGGTGGCGCTTAACTCAAACCGCAAGCGGATACTTTGTATTAGCGCCGGCTTCCCTTGAGCGTTGTAGACAAAGGAACGTGCACTGAAGCAAAGCAATCAACAAGCGATTGAGAACTCCCGGCTTTGCGTTCAAACAGGAAAACCCAACAAAGGCAACAACAGCACAACCCATAGACGGCAATCAGAAAGGCAAAAGCACTGGTCTGAATCTGCCATTTGGGCGAAGGGGGATTACTGCGGGTAATCTGTAACTAAGCAACGGGGCAAAACGCGGGAACGGGGAAGCTATAAGATACATTGTAAGATGTGCCAAGCCAACCCTGGCTTTTTCTGTACTTACTTATGTTATGCTTGAGTAAACTTCTTTGCTGAACACACGTGTCACGAGAGTTTCTCTGAGACGAATGGGGTAAACCTTACATAGTAGACACTGGGGGCATCTTCTCTGAGAGTGGCCCGCCCTCTGACTCCCATCATAACACCCACTCCCTGTCACCACCTGAATAGTATGACCCGCCCTAAACCCCCCCAGGGTCTCCAATTCCCCCCAGTCCCAGGCCTCTGGCTTCCCTAGTTAGGGGACCCTCCATCCAAATGTACAATAACAATCACCCAGTCAACCAAATCAGTCAATCGGGTGGTTCTACATTCAATCTGAGATGGGTAATTAATCTTCAATCCACTTTTCTTCTGCATCACCTTGAAATAATAAGTCATTGTACTGGTATAGCACCATCTCAGCATTACTGAATAAAAATGCTATATTTTGAAGCAAAAATGCACAGCCGTTTCAAAGCAACATAATGGAATATGAATTCTGGTTGTCTCCTTATATGTTTTAAAATTGGAAAAAATGTTGAGTATACTTCCAATTTCATAAGTAAGAGTGTTAAGCTATATTTAAACAAGCTATTTATTGGTTAATATTGCAGTGCTGCCTGTTGATTCTATATAGAAAGCAAAGAACCTCCTTAAATAAAGCATACGTCTAAAATTGATTGGAGTTATCATATGAAATTATTACATAAATCTTTAAATCTGTTTTTCATTTGTCTTAGGTAATCCTGAATTATGACTCGTATTTCAACCTTTATTGGTTAACCCAAGAATATCACTTATTATAAGTCAAGCTCTTCCATGTTTATACTGCTTACAGTATTTTAAACATTAATTATCTTTAATGTAATTTCATATCTTACCAGTTCAATTTCCTCATTCTTTTGTTCATTCAGTGATGTCAAAATCAACTTGTTCATTAATTTTCTTGCATCAATTTCTCACAGTTAATGCAACATATTTGTCTTCCTTTTAATAAAAGAAATGAATTCTTTGGAGTATGGCTTCTAAAGTTTATGTCAATCAGTACAGCAAATCAGTTGGAATACAAAGAAGGGGGAAGTCAAAAATAAAATATTTATCTATAGTATTTTTAGGGGTGTTTTTCTTTTCTTTCTTTTCTTTTTTTACATCTATAAATAATAATTTAATGGAGATTTTGGCTTTAAGCTCAAAAATGTATACTTCTTTTTCATATCATGAAAGCAACTCAATGTACTCTGGTTGGAATCTTTTATTAATGTTATATTGAGCATTAATTGTATAATTTCAGTCATTAATTGTCCAGTTATAGTTATCTTTTTTGAAAATACATCTCTCTTATAATTTTTTTTTAAAAAAGACAAGGCCTAACTGAAAAAAATTCTTTTTGCTTATTTATATAGCCTAATAGCAAATTATTTTCTTTTGTGCAGTTCAGTTGTTCTTTGTTAACATTTTAAAACAAACCACCTAATATTGTTTTGAAATATTAACAATTTCTAAATAGTCTTTTTAGTAATTTCAGGCAAAAGTTCTTAAAATCTATGATAGAGTTGTAAGAGTGTGTTCCTGCCTATTACTTTTGAAAACTTGCAAAACATTTATTTATATGTTTATTGTTGAAAGTAGAGGAGGAGACCCATCCAGTGGATCTGAGCTCTCTGTCAAGCAAGTTACTACCTGGATTCACAGCATTGGGCTTCAAAGATGAAAGAAGGCACAAAGGTAACCTCTTTGATGCAAATAATGTTTATATTCCCAAGATTAAACATTTGTCTTCATATTTATAAGACATTTTAATTTAATTTTGAGTATTTTTAGAAGGTAACTACTAGATATCCAGTGACTCAGAGAGTCAGGTCTTGTAGGTCTCAGTGCAAGGTGAATGGTTGATTTCACTTGGACGTTGGTACCACTTTTCTCAAGTATACAAGTTCTTTGTGGTGTCCATAGCTGGACCATTCTCAAAGAATGCTTATCAGTGGTTCCTCATTAAACTGGAAATGTGTCTCAAGTGGGATGCTTGGGGTTCTGTCCTTAGCTCAATACCCTTCAATTTTTAAAAATTGTATTTACAAAACGTTTAAGTCATTTTTCATATGTAATAAGAATATCAAGCAACAATACTATTTATTAATATCAACAGGAAAGGTTCAAAAACAATTAAAACATGCATGACAATACAATTAATTGATTTTAAAACTTTATCAAATGTGGGAAAAGAGTAAAATTTGAAGCTGGGATGCTGAATGTATAAAGGTTGTGTGCTGATAATTTACTAGTTTGTGTTGTTAATTTTTTTAGCTGTCCAAGATGAAGTTGGAAAGCTATAGTGTGGAAAAGAGAGAGTTACGTTTTTACCATCTTGAAAAACTTTACCATTTTTAAAGTGGATAAAGTTGGAGTTGGAGGCCCAGATGAGCAGGGAAAGGACTAGCAAGGGAACAATCTTCCAAGGAGATTGTTTTGCTGGAAAAGCTGAGGCTATTGCCACAGGCATCACAGAGTTGGGAACTCTGCAGTTGAGAATGCTGTTCCCATAGCCAAAGGGGCAAGCAATGGTGGTTAGGATTATTGCCAGAACATTGCTCAACCAGACCATTAGAGACTAGAGATGAAGCTGCTAACTTGTCTGACTCATAAGGTGGGGGGGGGGGGGGGGG